ACCTTCGATACATGGTGAGAAGGGTTGGAGCCTTATTAGGCTTGGGGGATTATTTTATAAGTGGGTAAAAGAGAGCTTCCAGAAAGCTCTTGAGGGGGAACCAGACAATGCATCCTTTAATGTGGGCTATGCCATGGTCCTGTACAGGTTGGAGGGCATGGTCAGGGATAAGAGAGTGAGGTCAGTGATGACTGCAGGTGCCAACCAGCTAAGGAAATCCTTGGAGCCTGATAACTCTGAGGTTATGGTCCTCCTAGCCCTGAAGCTTCAAAACAAAAATAAACAAGAGTCCATGAAACTCATCAAAGAGGCCCTCAGACTGTCTCATGACGTGCCTCATGTCATGCATTGTGTTGCCAAGTATTTCAGATATGAGGGCTCCATCAATGAGTCCCTACACATTTTGGGGAAAGCTCTGGAGCTGTCTCCAAACTCCCATTTCCTCCATCACCAAATCGGCCTTTGTCACAAACAGCAGCTCATCCAGATGTTTGAGCAGAAGAGGAAAGGGGCACGAGTCAATGGGGGCCAGATAAAAGCAAAGGTGGAGGTCTGCATCCGTCACTTCTCCAGAGCTGTGGAGCTGAAGCCCTCCAACATCCACGCAAGGGTGGACCTGGCTGAGGCCTACGGGAACAACTACCAGCTGGAGGAGGCGATTTAGATTTTCATCAACCTGCTGAAAGACGAGTCCCTCAGTGAATCAGTCAAGCAGCGCTGCTACACCGGCTTTGGCCTGTTTCTTTTCTATAAGAAGAAAGACGAGGATGGTGCTGTGACACAGTTAAAAAACGCCTACCAGATTCAAATTGAGAGTTGGGACAGGAAGCAGGCTGGGAAGAAGCTGAAGCAGATCGCAGACAGGTGTCAGGCTAACAAGAAGAGAGTCTGCGAAGCCTTGGAGATTTTGGCGTTCCTCGCCACTGAGGACAAAGACGAGAGGAAGGCTGAGGAGTACACCAGGAGAGCCAAGATGCACTCCGCAAACACAAATGGCCTTACAGATGCTTTCAGCAAAGGAATGAAATGTACATGATAAACCTTACTGTAACACAACGCATGGCTTACATAGAAATACTGCTGTATGCATTTGCATGTTTTTGTGTAACTGTAACTAAGTACTGTGTACAATTCTTAAGTTAGATTTAAATATAATTAGAATGTCCTTGGATGTGTCCAATTTCAGGTTGAACGATATGACCATTCAACTGTTGTTGCTCTTGTAACTGACAGTAACATTGTGAAGAGATAATAAAACATATAACCAAAATCTGGATGATCTTTGAGCTGGTTAACATTCCTTCTACTTGTTTCCAAAAGTCAACATTGCTTGTGTATTCCTTGACTACTTTAAATATATTTTATTACAGATATTAACTATTGTAGAGTGTGACGCAATCAGACAGGGAAAATAAGGCTCTGTGACAGTGACATTACAAATGGTATGCTGACTATAATCATCTGATGACAACTTTTGTATTATGGCCAACATCCTTTTTATATTATAATAAATTGTTATTAAATGGTTAGTATTCCTCAATAAATGCAGCTCTACTGTGTTTATGATACATAGGCTACAGTATCTTCAAATTGCCATCGATAAAACTGAATTGTGTTTGTTGTCCATAGCTTATGCCTGCCCATACCATGACCCCACCACCACCATGGGGTACTCTGTTCACAACGTTGACATCAGCAAACCGCTCGCCCACACGACGCCATCTGCCCGGTACAGTTGAAAACCGGAATTTATCTGTGAAAAGTACACTTCTCCAGCGTGCCAGTGGTCATCGAAGGTGAGCATTTGCCCACTGAATTCAGTTACGATGCCGAACTGCAGTAAGTTCAAGACCCTGGTGAGGACAACGAGCACGCAGATGAGCTTCCCTGAGACAGTTTCTGACAGTTTGTGCAGAAATTCTTTGGTTGTGTAAACCCACAGTTTCATCAGCTGTCCGGGTGGCTGGTCTCAGACGATCCCGCAGGTGAAGAAGCTGGATGTGGAGGTCCTGGGCTGGCGTGGTTACACGTGGTCTGCGGTTGTGAGGCCGGTTGGACATACTGCCAAATTCTCTAAAACGACGTTGGAGGCGGCTTATGGTAGTGAAATAAAAATTATATTATCTGGCAACAGCTATGGTGGACATTCCTGCAGTCAGCATGCCAATTGCATGCTCCCGCAAAACTTAAGACATCGTGGCATTGTGTTGTGTGACAAAATTGCACATTTTAGAGTGGCCTTTTATTGTCCCCAGCACAAGGTGCACCTGTGTAAGGATCACGCTGTTTAATCAGCTTTCTTGAGGGGTTGGGTTAAATGCGGAAGTCACATTTCAGTTGAATGCATTCAGTTATACAACTGACTAGGTATCCCCCTTTGCCTTTCCTTTCTTGATATGCCACACCGGTCAGGTGAATGGATTATCTTGGCAAAGGAGAAATGCTCACTAGCAGGGATGTAAACAAATTTGTGGACAAAAGTTGAGAGAAATAAGCTTTTTGTGTGTCTGGAAAATTTCTGGGATGTTTTATTTCAGCTCATGAAACATGGGACCAACACTTTACATGTTGCGTTTATCTATATTTTCCACCTTTTTCACATTTTTTTCGAAGTGGGTCCAATGTGTATGATGATGTCATATGGCTGAGTAGGCCTATAGCTTTTACGTTAAGCTCAGAAAGGTCCGACAAGGGATGTTCTAATATAGAACAAGAGAATTGTCCTCCTAGCCCTCTGTTGTAACTACAAAGTAACATGCTGCATCAAGTGGCCATGTAATAATACATTTTGTATATTTTTACAAAACTATACATTTGGTGTACACATATAAAGCAAATCATCCTGTCTTTTAATATCATCAATTATAGTATATGAAATTGGTATGAAAATGAATATACCTTTATAAATTAATAATGACTAATTCACAAAGGAGTGAACGACTATGACTTCCCTCATGTCAATATAAAGTATTACGAAACAACCGGAAGACTGTCGTCTTCAGAAATAATCTATTACAAACACCCTGTCTGAATCTTCAGTGATATTGAAATTGATCAACTTCTTCAGTTACATTTTGATTGACAGACATGGCAACCCTGAAAGAGAAAGGCACATAAAATGTGCAATAATATCACAGTTATGATAGAGAGATGATAAAGAAAAGTCCATATTTTGGCTGAAGCTTTTCTGGTTCCGGCAGAATTATTTACATTCCATTTTGTGTCAGTTTATAATGGCTCTTTCTGAGGAAAGTCATTCCCAGTCCTGAACTATCACGCTAGATTAGGTGTACCAATTGATCATCGTTTCTCATAATCTTCAATATACTTTGGTATTCCAACAAAACAAATGCGAAACTATGCAAAAGCGTCCAATGTTAAAAATGTGCTGTGTTGATTGAAGGGTTCACATCTTTACTTGAGGCTACAGTGAGGGAATTAAGTATTTGATCCTCTGCTGATTCTGTAGGTTTGCCCACTGACAAAGACATGATCAGTCTATAATTTTAATGGTAGGTTTATTTGAAATGTGAGAGACAGAATAACAACAAAAAAATCCTGAAAAACGCATGTCAAAAATGTTATAAATTGATTTGCATTTTAATGAGGGAAATAAGTATTTGACCCCTCTGCAAAACATGATTTAGTACTTGGTGGCAAAACCCTTGTTGGCAATCACAGAGGTCAGACGTTTCTTGTAGTTGGCCACCAGGTTTACACACATCTCAGGAGGGATTTTGTCCCACTCCTCTTTGCAGATCTTCTCCAAGTCATTAAGGTTTCGAGGCTGACGTTTGGCAACTCAAACCTTCAGCTCCCTCCACAGATTTTCTATGGGATTAAGGTCTGGAGACTGGCTAGGCCACTCCAGGACCTTAATGTGCTTCTTCTTGAGCCACTCCTTTGTTGCCTTGGCCGTGTGTTTTGGATCATTGTCATGCTGGAATACCCATCCACGACCCATTTTCAATGCCCTGGCTGAGGGAAGGAGGTTCTCACCCAAGATTTGACGGTACATGGCCCGTCCATCGTCCCTTTGATGCGGTGAAGTTGTCCTGTCCCCTTAGCAGAAAAACACCCCCAAAGCATAATGTTTCCACCTCCATGTTTGACGGTGGGGATGGTGTTCTTGGGGTCATAGGCAGCATTCCTCCTCCTCCAAACACGGCGAGTTGAGTTGATGCCAAAGAGCTCAATTTTGGTCTCATCTGACCACAACACTTTCACCCAGTTCTCCTCATAATCATTCAGATGTTCATTGGCAAACAGATGGGCCTGTATATGTGCTTTCTTGAGCAGGGGGACCTTGCGGGCGCTGCAGGATTTCAGTCCTTCACGGCGTAATGTGTTACCAATTGTTTTCTTGGTGACTATGGTCCCAGCTGCCTTGAGATCATTGACAAGATCCTCCCGTGTAGTTCTGGGCTGATTCCTCACCGTTCTCATGATCATTGCAACTCCACAAGGTGCGATCTTGCGTGGAGCCCCGGGCAGAGGGAGATTGACAATTATTTTGTGTTTCTTCCATTTGCAAATAATCGCACCAACTGTTGTCACCTTCTCACCAAGCTGCTTGGCGATGGTCTTGTAGCCCAGCCTTGTGTAGGTCTACAATCTTGTCCCTGACATCCTTGGAGAGCTCTTTGGTCTTGGCCATGGTGGAGAGTTTGGAATCTGATTGATTGATTGATTGCTTCTGTGGACAGGTGTCTTTTATACAGGTAACAAGCTGAGATTAGGAGCACTCCCTTTAAGAGTGTGCTCCTAATCTCAGCTCGTTACCTGTATAAAAGACACCTGGGAGCCAGAAATCTTTCTGATTGAGAGGGGTCAAATACTTATTTCCCTCATTAAAATGCAAATCAATTTATAACATTTGTGACATACGATTTTCTGAATTTGTTGTTGTTGTTATTCTGTCTCTCACTGTTCAAATAAACCTACCATTAAAATTATAGACTGATCATTTCTTTGTCAGTTGGCAAACGTACAAAATCAGCAGGGGATCAAATACTTAATTCCCTCACTGTATGTAGAAGTCTGATCGGCTGCCTGGACAAGGCTCCTGTTTGGGGTCTGTGTCTTTATTGTTTTTTCTGTGCTTTTGGGTCCTACGACAGTGGCGTATCCCAGTCACTGTGCTGATAACCAGGGAGCTGGAGATGAGGGCAAAGCCACTGAGGAAGAAAGTGGCCGTGTAGGTGCCTGTGGTGTCAACTAGCCAGCCTGCGGAGGGAGGAGGAAGGAGATATGAACATTCACTTAGGCTTTAACTTGATGGATGGAAGACATGCTGACTATAATGCATGTGTTAATAAATACAAAATAAATCATTTTTAAATCAGTAAAAGTACACTGGTGGGTAATTTAACAAGCTATTGCTGCACTTAATGCAAAATTTTTGCATCCATGACAAAATATTTTTTTATGTAACGTGAACATCTAACATTTGTAATTAATTGACTAATGAAACATCCATGGTGTACTATTCGGGCCAGTTTCCCGGACTAGGTTTAGTCTGTTCCCAGGAAACCAGCCATTCATGACACAAGCGTTCTTTAATAACTCAACTACAAATCATTTCCGAATCAGGACTGAATAAGTGGGTCACTTTAGAATGACATAAGGTTACTGTAAGTGAGATTGTTTGCTGTTGCATTTTCTTAAAGAGAACAGCAGGCTTGCTCTACCTGATGAGAGGGAGTATATGAGCGGTCTGGAAAGAAGCCCACTGGACACACACTGGTTGAATCAACTTTGTTTCCACGTCATTTCAATGAAATGACGTTGAACCAACGTGGAATATACGTTGAATTGACGTCTGTGCCCAGTGGGAGGTAAATGTCTGCTCATTGTTTCCTGCTCGCAAATGTGGTATTTGGCAAAGCTTTTAGTGAAGCAATAACAATGGCCCAAACATGGCTTTTGTACCACTAAATGCTTTCATAAAGACCACTTTTGCGATCAGCAAACAACGTGTGGACATTTCATGCCATCTCTTTTGTCCACCTCCTGTGCTGTGATTGGTTAGTACTTAATTCCTCCCCTTTCAACACAAGGACACTCACCTCCTATTGGAGGGCTGAGCAGGTAAGGAATGGCATGTAGGAAGTACACAATCCCCAGAGCGGAGGAGAGGTTAGCTGTCCCCACAATGTCTGAGGTCACCACAGGTATGAGGGCCACGTAGGCGCCATCGAAGTACCCATAAAGCACAGAGAAAGGCACCAGCAGGGCGAACGTCCGCAGGAGAGGGATGAAGAGGCAGCACAGTCCCTCCATGCCCACTGCAATCATGTAGCACACATTACGATACTTCTTCAGGCACCTGGGGGGAAGAATAATAGTGCATACAATCAGTCTAAAAACACATCCCACTGGGCACACTGGTTGAATCAACGTTGTTTCCACATCATTTCAATGAAATTACATTGAACCAACGTGGAATAGACGTTGACTTGACATCTGTGCCCAGTGGGATATTTCCCATATTGACCATCTGAATGATCTGTAGCTCAATTGTTAATGCCCTTACAGAAAAACCACATGATTTCAGGTGGAATATCACGTTATCACATGTTGCTTTACATGTTGTCACGTTATCACATGTTGCTTTACATGTTGTCACGTTATCACATTAACTTAACATAAGATCACAATTGATCACATGAAAACATGTGTTTTTGGAACAATTCACATGTGATCGCGTGAAATTCATGTGGTTTTTCCGTAAGGGTGGCTTGTAAGATGAAACCAGCTGTTTTTCACCTTCAAGATAAAATTGGGTAACAGCTCCATTTCTTAGAGCAGGGCTCTCCAACCCTGTTCCTGGAGAGCTACCTTCCTGTAGGTTTTCAATCCAAACCCAGTTGTAACTAACCTGATTCAGCTTATCAACCAGCTAATTGTTAGAATCAGGTGCACTAGATTAGCATTGGAGCGAAAACCTACAGGATGATAGCTCTCCAGGAACAGGGTTGGAGATCCCTGCTTTAGAGTAAAACTGGGTGACAGACAGTTCACTGAAAGGTGAGACTACAAAAACTAGGTAACAGCTCAGTAAATAGTGATACTGCAAAAAACGAGTGAAAACTGAATAAGAAAAGGCTGGATCCATATTTATGTTAAAGCATTGCTTCTGATTTCACACAAACTCCAAGTGGAATGTTGTAGAGGAAGACCTACAGAAAGATACAATGCAACAAATACAGGTATGTTTTGGACCTGTCTTCCAGTCCAAATAAAGGAATGCTTGCCTATCAAAGAGCAAGGCAGGACAGAGGCACTCTTCATAGAATTAAAATACCTTTGTTGTGGTGGCATGTTCAATGGAACACAATTTTAAAAACTCAGGCCTACCTCCTGTCTACGAGCCAGCCGAAGGTGATGTTCCCCACGATGTCTATGACCCCCAGGATAGACATGAGAAAGGCGGCCTTGTGGTGGCTTACGCCCACATCCAGTGCGTAGGGCACAAGGTAGACGAAGGGCAGGCTGCAGCCGCTTGCTAGGAACAAGAAGCTCACCGCCAGCATCAGGAAGTCAGGCATGAGCAGGAAGCGGTACTCCTGCATAGACTGGAAGCAGCGGCTGTCTTTGCTGTTGTTGATTGCCAGTGGTTCCTCTAACGTGCTCACCACCTGAGCTTTCACCCCATATCCACACTCGGCGTTCAACGGAACCGGACCATGGGCATCCTCTTCTTCTTTCAGAGTGATAGGGCGCAGTAAGGCCCCACAGACACACAGATTGGAGACAACGCCCCCCAGGATGAGTAGGGCCCCGTGCCATGAGTAGTGCTCTATGAGCAGCTGGACCACAGGGGCCAGGATGAAGGTCCCGATGCCACTGCCTGACATGGCGATCCCGTACGCCAGGGCTTTCCTCTCACAGAAATAAGACCCCACCATGGCAATGGCAGGGGTATAACAGAGGGAAAATCCAATACCTGCAAATCAAAAGAGGAAAAGGTTGTTGTTGGTATGCTATGATCCATTCTAGGGCATGTTTTTGGTACAGTATGTCTACCCAGTATCCCTAAATTATATGATGTGTGATTTATAGGGGTTCCTAATGATACTGCAGTGGGTCAGGAGGATGTCAGGTGGGACCCACCTGTGAGGACCCCCAGGGTGATGTACAGGTACTCCAGGCTGGTAGCGAAAGAGCTGAGGACCAGGCCGATGGAGGACAGGAAGCCCCCAAGGATCACAGCGATGCGGCACGAGAGACGGTTCCCAATGAAGCTGCCTAGAGGAGCTTTCAATCACAACACAGTACACAAGTTAGTATGGGGCTGTGCAGGCGCGTCACTTGAGCTGGGGGGGTGGTGGTATATACCATGATGAGTTTTATTGATTGGGGAAAAAATCCCTACTGTAAAGCTTTATGTGGTTTGCACCACAGTGACTCAGTTCCTCATTTCATGATTGGCTCCCCCTGCCGCCAAATTAGTTTTGGTTGCACCCAGTCTCCAGCGGCGTCCAACCCGTTCACAGTAAAAGGAAAAACACAGGGAAAAAGAGCTGAGCAAGGATAACGGCGAAAGGCGCAATTTCTTCTGCATGTATTGCTTTGGTCTACAGTAACAGTTCAGCAGCACACACTACCCCTCTCTATCTTTCTCTTTGTGGTGTTTGCTGAGGCGAGGTAGCTACATGTTTTGAAAGTTTAAAACGAGTAAAAGTTCATTAAGATTTCATACATTTATTCCTATGTTGTTGTGTAACTGTCACGAATTCCGCCGAGACTGCTCCTCCTCCTTGTTCGGGCAGGCTTCGGCGTTCGTCGTCCCCGGAGTACTAGCTGCTACCGTTTGATGTTCTCTATGTTTGTTTGGTTTTGTCTGTTTGGTGCACCTGTGTCTTATCACTTATTGATTATGTCACCTATAAGTTTCCTTTGGTTTTGTTTGTAGTTGTGTGTTGTTGTCCGCCTGTCCGTTGGGGTTTTGGATTTTGCTCTGGTGTATTTAAGTGTATTGACGCACTGTTTGCGCATCGCTTATATTTTGTGTTTTACGCACTGTTTGCGTATCGCTCGCCTCCGTTGTTTGAGGCCCGTTCTTTTTTATTGTCATATTTTTGACTAGTAAAGTCTGTTGGACTAAGCTTCTGTGTCCTGCGCCTGACTCCAACACCACATCCACTTCAAACACTGACAGAACAACACACCATCAATGGAGTCAGCAGGAGCAGCGGCGGCGACCGAGTCGCTGGAGGATCGGGTCAGCTGCCAGGACGCCAGGATCCAGCAACTCGGCTCCGCCATGCAGGAGGTCATGAACACCCTGCGCCGATGGGAAAGGGGAGGCGTGCCCACACCTCCTCCTACATTACCACCACCATCGGTCAGTCCCACCAGACCGGTTCCGGAATCCAGTGGGATTCGGCTCTCGCTCCCGAGGGCGTATGATGGCACAGCAGCCGGGTGTCAGGGGTTCCTCCTTCAGGTGGAACTCTACCTGGCCACCATACACCCGGCGCCCTCGGGATACGAGAGCGTGTCCGCCCTCATCTCCTGTCTCTCCGGCAAGGCGTTGGAGTGGGCCAACGCCGAATGGAGGGGAATAGACGCCGCCACCATCAGCTACGCGGAGTTCTCCCGCCGCTTCAGGGCTGTTTTCGATCACCCTCCTGAGGGTAAAGCGGCGGGGGAGCGTCTGTTCCACCTCCGACAGTGGAAGAGGAGCGCACAGGATTTCGCCCTGGATTTCCGGACTCTAGCGGCGGATGCGGGGTGGAATGAGAAGGCCCTCATCGACCACTATAGGTGTAGCCTGCGAGAGGACGTTCGTCGAGAGCTGGCCTGCAGGGACACCAATCTGTCATTTGACCAGCTAGTGGAAATGTCCATCCATCTGGATACCCTGCTAGCCACCCGCGGACGTCCCGAGATGGGGCCGTCCATTCCATTCCCCAGCACCTCCGAGCCGAGCCCAATGGAGCTCGGGGGTGCTGGCGCTAGAGGGAGAAGGAGAGAGAATCCGAGGGGGGCCGTCCCCTGCACCAGCTGTGGCCGTGGAGGACACACTGCGGCTAGGTGCTGGGGAGGGTCTCCAGGGAATCGGGACAACAGGTCGCGCAGTGGAGAGTCATTTCAGGTGAGTAGGCGCCCCACTCACCCAGAGCTCTCTGTTGTTCACTTTTGTATACCTGTAGTATTTCCTCAGGTTGCATCTCATTCCCAGCATAAGGCGCTAGTCGATTCAGGCGCAGCTGGGAATTTTATTGATCGGAAATTTTGTTCTAGGTTAGGGATTCCCCTCCTGCCCGTTGATGCACCCTTTCCTGTCCATGCCCTAGATAGCCGCCCATTGGGGTCTGGGTTGATTAGGGAAGTCACAGCGCCACTAAAGATGAAGACGCAGGGGGGTCATGAGGAGATTATTCAGTTGTACCTAATTGACTCTCCTGCGTATCCCGTGGTGCTGGGATGACCCCACCATTTCGTGGCAACAGAGGGCTCTCAAGGAATGGTCTGGCCAGTGTGTTGGGCGATGTCTAGGTGTTTCCGTGGGGACGACCACGGTGGAGAGTCCGAACCAAGTGCCCGCAATGCACATTCCCCCTGAGTATGAGGATTTGGCACTCGTGTTCAGCAAGACGAGGGCGACACGATTGCCACCTCATAGGCAGGGAGATTGTGCGATAAACCTCCAGACAGGTGCGGCACTTCCGCGGAGCCATGTGTATCCTCTGTCTCAAGAGGAGACGGCGGCTATGGAGACATACATAGCTGAATCCCTGAAACAGGGATACATATGGCCCTCCACTTCCCCTGCGTCCTCGAGTTTCTTTTTTGTGAAGAAGAAAGATGGAGGTTTGCGCCCGTGTATTGATTATCGTAGTCTCAATCAGATCACTGTGAAATACAGTTACCCTCTTCCTCTGATTGCGAGTATGACTGAATCATTACGCGGGGCGCGGTTCTTCACAAAACTGGATCTCAGGAGCGCTTATAACTTGGTGCGCATTAGGGAGGGGGATGAATGGAAGACAGCATTTAGTACCACCTCAGGTCATTATGAGTATCTTGTCATGCCATACGGGTTAATGAATGCTCCTTCAGTCTTCCAATCATTTGTGGACGAGATCTTCCGGGACCTGCATGGGCAGGGAGTGGTAGTGTACATTGACGACATCTTAGTGTACTCTGCTACACGTGCCGAGCATGTAGCCCTGGTACGCCGAGTGTTGGGTAGACTGTTGGAGCATGACTTGTATGTCAAGGCAGAGAAATGTCTGTTTTTCCAGGAGTCCATCTCCTTCTTGGGTCATCGGTTGTCCGCATCAGGGGTGAAGATGGAGATTGACCGTGTGTCAGCCGTGCGTAACTGGCAAACCCCAACCACTGTGAAAGAGGTGCAGCAGTTTTTGGGTTTTGCCAATTACTACCAGAGGTTTATCCAGGGTTTTGGACAGGTAGCAGCTCCCATTACTTCCCTGCTGAAGGGGGGCCCGGTGCGTTTGCAGTGGTCAGCTGAGGCGGACAGGGCGTTTTGTAAACTGAAAGACCTGTTCACCTCGGCTCCGGTGCTAGCGCACCCGGACCCCGCTTTAGCGTTCCAGGTAGAGGTGGACGCGTCAGAGGCCGGTATTGGGGCAGTACTGTCGCAACGCTCAGGCACGCCACCTAAGCTCCGTCCCTGCGCTTTTTATTCTAAGAAGCTCAGCCCGGCGGAGCGTAATTATGACGTAGGGGACAGGGAGCTGTTAGCCGTGGTTCAAGCCCTAAAGGTGTGGAGGCATTGGCTTGAGGGGGCTCAACACCCTTTTCTCATTCTGACCGACCATCGTAACCTGGAGTACATCCGGGCAGCTAGGAGATTAAACCCTCGTCAGGCTAGGTGGAACATGTTCCTGACCCGGTTTTTTTTTTTGTACATCCCAGGGTCCCAGAACGGTAAGGCAGACGCCCTGTCCCGGCGGTATGACACAGAGGAGAGGTCCATTGAGCCCACTCCCATACTGCCGGAGTCTTGTCTGGTGGCAGCGGTGGTATGGGAGGTCGATGCGGAAATTGAGCGGGCGTTACGCACCGACCCTACTCCCCAGAGTGTCCAGTGGGTCGGACGTACGTGCCGCTCGAGGTCCGTGATCGGCTCATTTATTGGACTCATACGTCACCCTCCTCTGGACATTCAGGTATTGGCCGGACAGTGCACTGCCTTAGTGTTAAATACTGGTGGACAACATTGGCTAAGGACGTGAGGGTTTATGTCTCCTCCTGCTCGGTGTGCGCTCAGTGTAAGGCGCCTAGACACCTGCCCAGGGGGAAGTTACAACCCCTGCCCGTTCCACTACGGCTGTGGTCTCACCTCTCGGTGGACTTTGTCACGGACCTTCCCCCCTCCCAGGGGAATACCACTATTCTGGTCATGGGGATCGGTTCTCTAAGGCCTGTCGTCTCATTCCTATGCCGGGTCTCCCTACTGCCCTACAGACCGCTGAGGCTTTGTTCACCCACGTCTTCCGGCACTACGGGGTTCCCGAGGATATAGTGTCTGATCGGGGTCCCCAGTTCACCTCTAGAGTCTGGAGGGCGTTCATGGAACGCTTGGGGGTCTCGGTTAGCCTTACCTCGAGTTACCACCCGGAGAGTAATGGGCAGGTGGAGAGAGTAAACCAGGATGTGGGTAGGTTTCTGAGATCCTATTGCCAGGGCCGGCCGGAGGAGTGGTCGGGGTATATCCCCTGGGCAGAGATGGCTCAGAACTCTCTCCGCCACTCCTCTACTAACCTGACCCCTTTTCAGTGTGTGTTAGGTTATCAGCCGGTTCTGGCACCATGGCATCAGAGCCAGATCGAGGCTCCTGCGGTGGATGAGTGGTTTCGCCGCTCGGAGGAGACGTGGAACGCTGCCCACGTCCATCTGCAGCGGGCCATCCGCAGGCAGAAGGCGAGCGCCGACCTCCACCGCAGTGAGGGTCCAGTCTACGCCCCTGGAGATCGAGTCTGGCTCTCGAAACCTGCCCCTTCGCCTGCCCTGCCGGAAGCTTGGCCGGCGGTTTGTGAGGCCATTTAAAGTCCTGAGGAGATTGAATGAGGTGTGTTACAGGTTGCAACTGCCCAATGACTATCACATTAACCCCTCATTCCATGTGTCTCTCCTCAGGCCGGTGGTAGCTGGTCCACTCCAGGAGAGTGAGATAAGGGAGACCCCTCCGCCCCCACTGGACATCGAGGGGGCTCCGGCATACTCAGTCCGGTCCATCGTGAATTCGAGACGTCGGATGGGGGGTCTACAATATCTCGTGGAGTGGGAGGGGTACGGTCCGGAGGAACGGTGCTGGGTGCCTCGGAGGGACATTTT